ACATGGGTTTTAAAGGGGATTGAAAGGGGGGTTGACTTCGAAGGATTTTTTATGTTTATTTTTTTTGTGAATTTATAAGGAATCCTGGAGTGACCCTCAGCCAAAAGTTGGTTGCATTGCAATTCTAGAAAACATATTGTTTTTAGTACTTTTACAGTTTTTTTGTTTTTTTTTGGGGGGGGGAGAGGTGGGGGGGGCACCGAAGTTGTTACCAATTTACTCAATATAACTCCTGGGCGGTGTAAACCAATATAGTGGGCATTGTTTATGTATACAACGCCCGAGCGTTATTTTTGGGTGAAGACGGTTGTGGTAACAAAGAAAGGCTAGAAATAACTCATGACAGAGATTCATTGGCAGGAGGGCCACAGAGAGAGGGAAGAAAAAAGTGGGCAGACGAAAAGAAGACAACGAAGAAAGAGCTGGAGGCAAAGAGGAAGGAAATGGATGAGCTAATCAAGCTGACAGAGGAGGCCGAAAGGACAGTAAACGAGGAAGCAGATGCCTGACCCAAAGCCGGCTCTGAAGGATCCTAAGCAGCAGGTGATGACAGTCCTGAAGTCCAGGCAGTTGGAAGATACTGCTGACTGCTCTCGCCAAAATTCCTCGGTTAAAAAGATTACTGCAGAACTGATCAATCTCGCCATAGTGCACCACATTGCCCAGAGCATCTACTGACACAGAGGGAAGCTACAACAACAACAACAACAACAACAACAACAACAACAACAACAGAAGAAGAAGAAGAAGAAGAAGAAGAAGAAGAAGAAGAAGAAGAAGAAGAAGAAGAAGAAGAAGAAGAAGAAGAAAGAAAGAAAGAAAGAAGAACTAGAAGAGAACTAAGAAGAAGAACTAAGAAGAAGAAGAAGAAGAAGAAGAAGTGAGTGTGTGCCACCATATGAATGTTCAAAGAACACTGAAGGAATCCATGATCATGGAACCAAAGAAAAGAGGATTACATTCCACCAGCAGAAGGATCACAGATAAAAGTTGAAGAAGAAGAAGAAGAAGAAGAAGAAGAAGAAGAAGAAGAAGAAGAAGAAGAAGTAGTGAGTGTGTGCCACCATATGAATGTTCAAAGAACACTGAAGGAATCCATGATCATGGAACCAAAGAAAAGAGGACTACATTCCACCAGCAGAAGGATCACAGATAAAAGTTGCATGCACCGTGCAAACTGCTATTTTTGAAAGAGCAGGCTATTGGGTTCGGCAGCTCACCTGTACACATTAACGACAGCCTCTGGCGCTGCTGTAGCCATGGATGCGGCTATGTAAGGTCCATAGCCTATTTTTGTCACAGTTACCAGATAGTTAAATAATGGGGAAGGAAGAGGCGAGACCCGGATGAGTAGCACCACCTTGAACTGATGACCCCAATCACCCCTCTCAACCAGCTTGAGTATGTTATGGTACTGCGGACGTTTCAAGAACCATTCCTGCACCAGAGTTCAATCATTACAAAGCATCATCATCAGGCTGCACACAGAACGGAGGTAATAGAATGAATTTCAATGAAATCATGCCAATGATACTGACATTTGAAGATGCATGCAGTGCAACAACCTTCTAAGTTGAAGGTCACAGGTTCAAATCCTGTAGGATGCTGAATTCTTAGAGATACTGGTTGTCAAACACAGGTTTCTGGATGACCGCTCCAGATTAACTAAGAATATATATAAGATTATATAATTGTACTATTTGAAGTATTTTAGTATTTTCCCAAATTTGTATTGCTCATCCTCGTGGTGCAGGTGTGTACTTGTATTTGAGCAAGTCTCGTCATTCTATTCCAAACATCTCCATGCAGCCCGCACAGCTCAACTACAACAAAATGACGAACACTGCGAGCAGCCCACGATGAGACAAAACGGGAACCAAACGATAGGGGTGGGGATAATTGTCGCGTTGAAACGGGGGCTGGACGACAGAAAGAGCCAAAAAAAAAAAAAAAAAAAAAAAAGAGAGAGAGAGAGAGAGCAGCACGACAAAACGGGGACGAAACGACAGAACGAACAAAAAAAAAAGACGACAAGACAAAAGTTACAAAACAGTGGCAAAACGGGGAAAAAAAAAAAAAGCTGCCCTGTACTGTGCACAGCTTTAATACACATCTAGATGTGTATAAGAGACAGGAGAGAGAGAGAGCAGCACGACAAAACGGGGACGAAACGACAGAACGAACAAAAAAAAAAGACGACAAGACAAAAGTTACAAAACAGTGGCAAAACGGGGAAAAAAAAAAAAAGCTGCCCTGTACTGTGCACAGCGCAGGACACAACAAAACGGAGACCAAACAACCAAAACAAAAACAAAAACGCTCAGCTGTTCCATAACGGATGCCCCACGGCCGGTCACTGGTTCCACCGCTTGCCTGGGTCTCACACGGCCACGCCACACGAGACCCAGGTTATACTTCAGGTAGAGAGAGATTGCAAACGAACGAATGAATGAACAAGGAACATGTCCGATACATCTCCCTCACTGCCAGTGCAGAAAGATTTCCCCTTTAGCTCCCCTCTCTCTCTCTCCTCCCCCAAGTTGCTAGTTAGTGGCCATGGGCGATCACCACCTACATGGGATGTGCAGAGGGTAATGCACTTCCACTAGCCCTGTTCCCTTCCTCTACTGCCCCTGGAAAAAGGGGGACCGGGCGACCAACAAAAACCAAGTGCTCCACTCGGGCCTCTCAGCCATAATGGGGAGGAGTGTGCGTGTGTTTTTATTGTATTCGTATTTGACTTGCCGGGGGAATAGGAACCGGACTGTTGCTAGGAACAGATCCCTGTCTATGGGACCTACTCTGCTCAAACGCTGGGAGAAAAGGGTGGGGGTCCCCAGAAGCCAAATGGTAGACATACCATGGGTCAATATCCTATCAATAAGACTGGGACAAGTGAGGAGTATGCAATGGCTAATAGCGCATGTGGCGCTGCCAGTGAATGTTTGGCTCAACGAAAGAAGAAGTCACAATCATAGGAGCGAGGAAGCTGAGCTGTGCAGAGTGTGCCAAGAAGGAGTTCCGGAAACAGTGGTGCACTGTCTACTGGAGTGCAAAGAGGCGGAGGGGATGTGGGAACAAGTCAGGGGAATCTGGAAACAGGTGGCGAACACTACCTTTCCGGAGTCAAGAATTGCTAGGCTTTTGGGGGCTGAGGTACCCAAACGGATGCAACCCTATCAGAGACATATCTTTCAGCTACTGAGGCAATATGGCTTGTGGATCATTTGGAAGAGGAGATGTCAGGCCACTATGGAAGGAACGCTAATGCATAAAGAGGAAGCCAGGGAACTGCTCCTCAGGGCAGTGGAAACACGTCTCAATGCACAGTGGAAAAGGGCGAGACAGCAGGCACAGCAAAAACCAGAGCAAGAGGAGGAGATAATTAAAAGATTTAAACAGAACACGTTGGGTCAGGGGGCAGTAGCAGAGGTCAGAGGCACACAACTACGCTTTAAATGGAGAGAAGAGGGAGGACAAAATCAGGGGACAGGAGAGAGGTAGGATAAAGGGAAAGGGAGGAAAATCTCGACAAGCCAGTAAGACCCAGGGAGGAAGGGCAAATAAGAGGAACTGGGACAATGACAAAAAATGAAGACCGGGGAAGGAAGGACGGGCGGGGTTCCCACAAGACTCAGGAAAGGAGATATCACGCACCACGGGCACGGCAGAAGAGAGGGGAGGACACAGGCCGACAGGGACAAAGGATGAACTCAGTCTAGGGGACATAGCACTATCTGGTAGATCTGTACTCCAGATCTGAGAGGAAAGAGAGGGGCACGGCAAGCTGACAGTAAATCCTCCACCAAGGTGGAGCATTCAATGCTGATCGGGGGTCCTTCGGCCAAACGGAAGGAAGCGTGGCAATTTTAAGAGCATGTTGACTTGCCGGGGGAATAAGAACTGGATCGATGCTCCCCAGAATTCCAAGCAAAGATTCCAACAATGAGCAAGCAGTCCTGGATCAAGACACGGGCATGGGAAACAGGAGACAGGGAAACAGGGTGGACTCAAGGGAATGTTGAAGAAGGGACACACAGGCTGAGGGTGGAGGTTTTAAGGCTGGGGAACAGACAAAATAGACAAGTTTAAACTTCCACAGTCAAGGTTTGATAGCACAGATTTAGACGGACGGCACCAAAGGACAAGAGCAAGGGGAAAGGACAGATTCAAAGAGTGACTGGAACTCGGTTTCACAGGTTGAGGGTTTAGGGTTTAGGGTTTAGGGTTTAAAACAGGTTTTTAAAAAAAGGGGGAGACAAATAAGCTGAGAAAGGGGACATCATGCACCACAGGTAGGGCAGATGAGTGGGGAGGACACAGGCCGACAGGGACAAAGGTTGAACTCTTTCTAGGGGACATAGTATTATATGGCAGATCTGTACTCCATATCTGAGAGGAAAGAGAGGGGCACGGCAAGCTGACAGTCAATCCTCCACTGCGGTGGAGTAATCAATGCTGTTCAAGGGTCCTTCGGCCTGACGGAAGGAAGCGTGTGTGAGTCTTCATTGATGTAATGTGTATTTTGACTTGCCGGTGGAATAGGAACCAGACTGATGCTCCCCAGAATAGAAGGAGCTAGGACCATAAAAAAAAAAAAAAAAAAAAAAAAAAAGGAACCGGACTGTTGCTCCCCAGAATGGCAGGAGCCAGAACCGAGAGGTTCTGTTAAAAAAAAAAAAAAAAAAAACCAAGTGCTCCTGTCAGTGGCACTTAAATTTATCAAGTATACTGATACCAATCAGAACATCACAGAGTTTGAGGTCCACAAGTTGGAGAGTGCAGTGAAAGCCATAGTAGAAGTTAGAAAAGAGTCCCTGATAGAACTTGATTTTTACAGACACAATCTCAGCAGAGCACGGGAGTGAAAAAACGAACAGAAACAAGCTATGAATCACAGAAAGAATGAAGAGAAAGCCATTGGCTCTCCAGATTCAGACAAGGACATAGATCAGCCTGAATGGGGCTGGTACGAGGCTAAGGGAAGGGGCAGAACCACGCGATGGGTAGATATGCATGATTATACAGTTGAGGTGGGGTACAGAACTACCTTCTTCACCAGAATACAGCCTACGGTCATATTTAGACTGAAAGATACCCCAAGTACAGCTATAATGACCGTAAGTTGTGTTCGGATGAAGATTTTAGATGCGAGGTGGAAAATGCTCAGCAAACCATAGCATCTAGATGGGAAAAGCACCTGCATACTGAACCCAGTTGGCTACAATCTATACCATGGGTCTACTATTCAAATATCAGACCACAGAAAGTTAGAAGCCTCCAACGGCTAATGTTATATCTGGTAGTTCCAGATAATGCTTGGCGAGAGACTAGACACAAGGAGGAAGACACAATAGAGGAATGAGCATGTTGCACAATTTGTCTGGACAAACAAGTAGAAAATGTGACACACTGAGGTATCTTTTTTGTTCGTGCCAGCGCCGCGCCGGTCAGCGCTACGCAGCCTCCGGCATTCGCACACAAGCTTGCCGCGCACCCGCGCACCACAGTCATTGCGTGCGCGCGTAGCGAAGCAGGCATGATCATGGGACTCATGGCGTGCAGCAGACAGGACAGCACAAGGCGGGAGTGTTTTTGACTCAACCACGGGTTTCTACCTTCTCTAGAAGGAGGGAAACGCCACGTGCCCGTATGTTGGATATGGTCGAAGAACTGGTCAGAAGACAGGCAAAGAGATTTCCAGACGAGCGAGAGGCGTACGGTTCAGCTCGATCTGGTGCACCCATCATTGGCAGAAGGATTGAAGGAGGAATCGTGGACTTGGTCGAAGAACTGGTCTAAATACAGGCAACAAGTGATTCGTACAACTGAGATCCAACCTTCTATAGCCTACTAACCCCGTTCCCTACGATCTGTCCCTCTTCGATCCCCCACATTTGTCGCCTCTCTACTCTACCTTTCTGCTTCGCGCCATCCTCGGCCCTACTCCCAATCATCCCTCTGACCCACCCTTCTTCATACTTGTCTTTTCCGACCTTTCGATACCAATGCTTCCCTCTGTCCAATCTGCTCAACAGAGATCACTCCAAGTCCCTTCCCCACCTCCTTTCTCCTTCATCGCTGGTTGTCCCCTGAGTATCTTGAATCGGGTCGAGGGTACAGACTAAACACAGGCAACAAGCGATCCATACGAGTGGGCTTTCTCCACATCCGTTTTGCCCTCAACCATCAATGTTTCCGTTTCTCCCTCGTCTGCAAATTCTGTTAACGGATATCAATCGAATTCCTCCCTCCCTTCCGTGCCTTCCCATCCCAAGACTCTCCCCCTCTTCCCCGCCCCTCGCACGGCCATCACCACACCAATCTCCCAAACGACCTCTTCCATTCTTCACGTCTCCCCCATTACCCGAACCCGTAGATCCCACGCATTCTTCTCATAGCTCGCCATTCTCACTACTCGGCACATTTCCCGGCCTC